TAGGGAAAGATATATATATAAAAAGGAGAGAATGATAGAAAGACCTTTGAACATTGTCTGGCATAATTAAAAATTTAAAAAGCTGACGTCAAAGGAAACTTTACGTTAAACAGGCGTAATTACAGCTGTTTGTTATGTAAAAAAATTAAATTATATGTTTAATAAAAAAAAATAATAATTTTCTTAAAACTATGAATTAATTTAAATTTTTATTTAGCAATAATAAATTGCTAATTAACATCGAATTATTCTTCAGGAAATAATTTTGTATAAACTGGCTGTTAATAGAAAGTAGGTTTACAGTAGGTAGTTAATAAAAGAGATGAGCACTTTTAATAGCATTTGATCTTAAAATTATTTTATTAATATATCAAAAGAACATACGGAGAATAATTTCTGTTTATTAAATAAATATATAATAAAAAAACAATTATTAATATTTATGAAAAGTTTGCTTGCGGTATTCAACAAAAAATGCAACGAAAAAATATAATTAATCTTTACAGAAATGTTCATTTTATTATTGGTTTTTACAAGATCGAATATCATCCAGATATGTCACTCTTAACTGGTCCTTCAGTATTTTCTGATAAATAAGGGTATTCATCGCAAATGATTATTTATTGGTAAATGATGAAACGTCTAGATCGACTTTCGATGCAGTCAATGAAAACATCAATATCGCTCTAGAGTTCTAAGGAGATGATAAAAAAAAAATGATAGCAAGCGTTCTTGAAGCAAACCAAAAAAATTGAGTTTTATATTATTTCTGATCTTTCTACAGCGATTGTTGATTGAGTCTTGTTTATTCTAATTAGTACTACCATTTATTCTTTTCATAAACTTTATTTTATACTAAATGTTACCACGATAAAACTTATTTATTGTTTGTCACAATTTTTGAGATAATAACTTTTTGGAATACTATCATGATAAAACTATGCATAATATTTAGACATGCTTAAGAACTGATAGTATTATAAATATGTAAACTATTCAATAAATACAGTGTCTTAAACAAATACGATCAAAAGTAATATGTTCGCGTGTAGTTCTTTTTGTTTCGTAAATACCGTTTTTGTACTTAAAATATTAAAATTATAAACTGTAAAAGAACTATAAAATAAAAATTTTTATTATGGATACAGTTAGTTTATAGATTTTTGAACAATCAAATTGTTATGTCTGTATTGGCGCAGTTTTCGATGGAAGTCAAAAACGATCAAGCAAACATAATTCTATTTGCATGGTCTATATTTGCGTTTCTCCGGCGCGTGAAAATGCGTATATTCTATGAAATGGAGGCCGAACAAAATGGAAGAAACAAGAAATATTGCTATTTGTTTTAATTTTAAAGAAAGGACTAAATTTATTTCTAATCTAAGTATTTGTATGAGAATATTAAAAAATTATAATACACATTTCTATTTTGTTGCAAAGCAAAGTAGACTTTTATTGATTTTTGGATGTAGAAATATTTGAACGGTAATTATCTGACGCTTGTAATTAGATAACAATTCGCAGAATTTAAAGCTCTTTAAATACCTGGTTGTCTCAGAGCGTTTTCTTCATAAGCTACAAATATATTACATTTTGCTTCGTGAGATATCGGATAAGAATGATAAAATTTATTATCTAATGATAACTCGACTCTTATCAGTGAGTTCAATGAGCATTATACTTCAAGAAGTGTTTATTTTCGAATTTTTAAATCGTGCTTTTATCAATTCAGAATTTTCTTTATAAAACATGGCTTGCATGAATAACATTGCTATAATATTCTACAAAATGTTATCAGATATTCTATTTTAATTTCATCGTGTTGCTTCATAAAATGTTTGAAGTATTATAAAAATATTTTTTAGGTATAATTATAATTAATATTTATTTAGATATATTTATAACTAATATTTATCTAGACACATTTGTAACTAATATTTATTTTAGACGACAAATGTTCTAATAATCATCGTAATTATTGCTAAAACGTATTATATTATATGTATATAAGAACATTGCAAAGTGACATTTTTCATCCTATTAATTTAAAACAATTGAAGCATACTGACATGAAGAAACCACATTATGCACTTGCACATCATCGATGCAATTTCAAAGTACTCTAATTCTCGAGAGGCGAATTTGCAAAGGAGAAAATTATGCAAACACATACGCAGTCCACTGTTTTATCGAAGACTGGAATATCCCTAACAAACTTTCCCAGGGATTGTTCCTCAACGCTTCAGGATTGTCACAAGGTGCCTATCTGGTTGGTACTGGAACTTTAAGCTTGCCATCGAGTATAATGGCATTCGAGCTTCTTCATTATGCAGGCCAATCATGACTGCAACTTCCTTCAAGTCATCCGCCGTGTCAGCCTTTCAATTATACATATACGCGCTCTCTATTTAACGCAGTTTATAGTGTATTCCTACTACTTATAGTTGCTGTGGTGTTTCGTATTAAAAACTAACTGCAAGTATTGTAACAATGCTTAATAACTTTTTAAAATTAAAAAATGCAAAAATAAAAATATTATGAGAATGGTGAAACATCGATTTATTGATTAAATAGGTAATTATTTTGTAGGATTTGTTATAATCTTACGGATTGAAAAATGTACGATAAAATATAAGACAGCAATCTCTCTCTCTCTCTCTCTCTTTCTCTCTCTCTCTCTCTCTCTCTCTCTCTCTCTCTCTCTTTCTCTCTATCTCTCTCTCTCATAATTGTTTATTTTACATAGAATAAAACAATTTAGATAGAATAAAACAATTTTTCTACATAATCTCATTAATACTAAGAAAATTTATTAAAATTTAACAATAAACATTATTTGAAAAAAATTGTTTTTTTATTTTAAAAGTATAAAAGTAAATCTTATAATATATATGTAAAAAATGTCCATTAAATTTTTTCTCTTTCTTTTTCTATGAAAATATGAATTTATCTCATATGGTGCGTAAATTTTTCAATTCTCTTTATTCTTGTTTTTAAAGCAAAATGAATGATTATGTAAAGATTATATCACATCGAGAGAGACCAGTATTTAATATGTTAATTTAATGCTTATAATTATCAAGATATTTACTAAAAAATAATACTTCTGTCGACAAGAGGTATAATCAAATATTAGTGCTAGTTTTATAGGAAAGGATCTGTCTCCTTTGTTCTACAAAGTAAGTATTTGCAAAAAAACAAATAAGTTTAATTTATTAGAATATTGTTATATCTTCTTAATTAATTTTAGTTTTATCAAGCGCTGCAGAATATTTTACTTTTTTTTTTAATGTTCCCCGTAAATAAGTTATAAGTAGAGATCTATCTAGAATCATAACTAGAGATTAAACTTACAGTATCGTTTAGGTTTCCAATATCAAGATGTATAGAACGTAGGTAAACCTCAACGCAGCCTAAAGGCAAGACATGTAGCCTACGGCAATTATATGCAAATCTCAGCAAGTTGTGCCTAAAACCTCAACACTGTCACCAACTAGCAGCCACCATTTCGATCAAACAAAGAATGATACGAGTAATACCCATCAATAAATCGACAAATAAAACGATAAGTCTAATTCAAATAGTATAATGCGAATATTAAAGGCAGAAATTAAAAGAAACGGTATCAGATTTATAATAGATTTTTCAGATAAAAATCGAGAATTCCATTTGATAAGAAACGGAAATAATTTCTGGATTACTTTCTTGATATAGACAATATATCTGATACATACTATATACTTTATACAGTTTATAGATAATTATTTGATATAGATAAATTTTCTTCTTTCGTATTTTTTATTTTATACATTGCTATACTAATATGAAGTCAATATTAACATTTAATAATATTATAGATAGCGTAAGTATATTCAACTGTGTTCTCACTGAGATTTGTTATCGTTATTGTCAGAGACACAAATATTATCTCATTACACGTCTAATCAAATTTGACGATGATCTACTTACGGTAGAAAGAGACTGTTAATAATAAATAATATGACAACTACGCAATAATTCCGAATAGCATATAGTCTTAAGACGGCGATGCATCGTAAACATTGCTGATTGTTGTGTTGTGCAAGTTATTAAAACTATCATTTGTGGCAGTATCAGCAGAAACTAGTATTCTAGATCCACGCCAATGTGACCGTACGTGCGCGTGTGTGTGCATGTGTCATTTTTTATCTTATTGTCAAGTATATACACATATGTATAAGGTGATACCTTTTCACGAACTTTACACGAAAGAAATTAATTAAGAAGATTGCTAAAAATCGATTGAGCAAATGTATTCTGACATTATCATATCTAATCACTTTCCATTTTTCTTGCTTATATTAATTATTTTTTTCGCTTTAAATCTAACGTGTGCACATGATAACGACGGCACAAATAAAAATGAAAATTCGAATCATATTTCTGCACGGTATCGATTACCCAAGGAAATTGTTCCTATATCCTATGATTTATCGATCTATACACACCCGATTGACGTGGATTATGATGGTCACGTACGGATCATCTTACAAGTGCTCGAAAAAACAAATTTCATCGTGCTACACACGGATGCATTAAAAATACAAACAAATGCATCTTTGTTTGATAGATCGGGCAGGTTGACTCGGATCTTGCGTTACACCCATGACGAAGATACACAAATGCTTACGATTAAACTCGAGCGCGCACTAGACCTTGCGAAATACACGTTAGAAGTATCCTTCAAAGGACGTATCGCAAATGATGTATTCGGCTTTTATGCAAGTCTATACGAAGTTGATGGAAGGCTGAGGTAATATTCTAAGATAAAAAGTTATACAAAGTGTTCAAAAATTCGCGAATCAATATATTATAGCAAGAAAGTTTTCAAAAAAAGAATAAGTTATAAAAATATTTATTATTTTTTTCGAGCGGTAGTTTTTAAAACTTAAAGATTAAATACTGACCACTTATAGATTACTGTGTTATAATATTAGTGATGATGCTTGACTCACAAATAATTTAACGTAATGCTTGTCCAATTTTAAACCTCTGTATCTAAAAAATTACTGTTTTGAACGATAAATGACAAATACTTTTATGACTTATTTTTTCAAGAATTTTTTTGCTGTAATAACTTTGATTCGCGAATTTTAAGACATATTGTATGTGTCATATTTTAAAGCTGCTACAGGGCAAGTAGTCAAAATAAAATCTGAATGTACTGAGAACTTTATGTCAGGATATGCTGAGCATGAAACATTTCTTAAGATTTTTTAAAATTATACACACATGTTTATTGTATAATATATAATCTCCTATACTTTAATTATAATTTTGTTGCTTAATCAATAAAAAGTTAGAAAGCAGTTATTTAAAGATCTGTTTATAATAATGAGAACACTCTTCACTTATTGTAATTTACATTTATTGTAATTTATTTTACACTGTTATATTTTTTTAGACGAATTAGTGTAACACAATTTTCGCCTACATACGCACGTCGTGCGTTCCCTTGTATGGACGAGCCTTATTTAAAAGCGGAATTTCATTTGCATATTGGCCATCATAAGGATCAAAAGGCGACGAGTAATACTCCAGTGGAATTTATACGAATAAAGTTAGTATATAATTTTTCCAATCTTATCAAACTAAAAACATATACAAAGATATTTATAAATCAAAAGCAAATGGTTATGAAAATTATTATAGAAATGATACGTATTATGTGACCACATTCCGCCGTACACCACGAATGCCCACGTACTTAGTAGGATGGGCAGTACACAACTTTGTCCCGGAACAATCACAAATTTCGGGAGATTTCAAGATGTGGACAAGAGACTCCATGAAGTTTCATGGATCGATGGCCTTGAATCGCGGTTGGGCAGTCTATTCGGCGTTACAGACGTGGTTATTAGTAAAAAGCCCGCTCGTGAAGGTCGATCAATTTGCGATACCGGATTTTAATTTCAATGCGATGGAGAATTGGGGCCTTATCACTTATAGAGAATCTGTAGTGTTGCATGAGGATGGAACTCCGACAAGAAAAGTAATAAACGGACTGTTAGTGATGGCTCACGAGTACGCTCACAGTTGGTTCGGTAATCTGGTGACACCCGTATTCTGGGATGTTGTCTGGTTGAAGGAGGGCTTTGCCACGTATTTCCAATATTTTGGCGTGTCCTTAGCAGAGCCGGATTTGAGAATGATGAATATATTTGTAGTAGATTGTTTACAACCGATACTGCTCGCAGATTCCGACAATCATACACGCACATTAAATGGTCAAGAGATCGGGGATCGTAACAGTATTATGACTTTGTTTGATTTTGTCTCTTATGAGAAAGGTATAGTACATTACGTATGGAACACTTATTAACATATTTTATATTACGTAAAGATGGTATTTACATTGAGAGATGTTTAATAAAAGAATAATTATTTTTAAATCTTTTAAATAATAATTTTTAATTTAAGTAATTTATAATTATTTTCAAATAAAACAAAATAAAAAGATGTACAAATTTTGCCATATATATTTTATACATATAGTATATGTGATTGATTTTCACCTTTGATCGCTTATGAGTGCTGCGCTACTTATTTCTTACATAATCCGTTAATCGTATCACTGTAAGCATGTGTAACAATCTTGCAAAGATAGATAGGATTATCTTTCGATCATGTGATTTAGATCTTCAGAAATGATTATTTATTTAAATCATACAATATCTAGAATTAATCACTGACGGATTTAATTTTCAACATTCTTATCTTTAATATTGTGTATTGTTCTTTTTTTATATTAACAATTTTGTAAGAATTACAATTAATTGTTCACATTTCTGCTACATTTTTGAAATTTTAATTAGAAGAAATCGTTAAAACTTATGTCTTTTTTTGTTAGTCTAGAGTTTACGTTACACTCAATTATGTAAAGCTAATTATGTTGTCTGAATAGAATTGTATTTAAATATTAATTTATTAGTATTAATATTAGTAATTTTAATAATATTAATATAATATTAATATAATATTAATGTAATATTAATATAAGCGCACAATGCATGCAAGACATTTTCTTCTTGCTTTACTTTAGCTTTTAATCTTTTAAATAATTTTTAATAACAGTAAATAATAGTATTTTTACATAATTATAATTATCTAAGATGCTAAACTTATAACAATTAATTCTATAAAATTAATTCTATAAAACTTATTAAGATTAATTCTATAAAAAATAGAAAAAATCATTGAAGTTATATATTGATTATAATTTATGTGTTTTTATTCAAATTTATAAAACACAGAAATTCGGTTTCTTAAATATTGACATAAAACTCATCATAATATATTAGAATGGATTGTAATACATTGTGTCATATCGTTTTCAGGTGCCTCTGTAATTCGCATGATCAGTCATACCATCGGAAGCACAACATTCCAATTAGGATTACAAAATTATTTGCGTGAGTTGTAGGTATCTGTATTACATGTGCAGAACGTTTCTAAATTCCTATCGATATTTTTTTTTAACAATATTATCGTTGTAATATATGTAATTATCTTATTTTTTTAAAGTAATAATAATTTTGGTTTTTGTAACACTGTTTTTATCATAAAAATTTATTTTTATTATTAGGTCATTTGAAGCAGCCACTCCATTCGACTTGTATCGACACTTGCAAGCTGCATCAAATATAACAAGGCAATTGTACAAAGGCATATCTATAAAAGACGTCGTAGAATCCTGGGCAAATCAGCCAGGATATCCCTTAGTGATCATTACAAGAAACTACAAGACGAAGGCTCTCTTTGCCTCGCAAGAACGATTTTATCTAAACCGTCAAGCAGCACAAACAAATTCCGAAAAATCGAGTTGGTGGATACCATTAACCTACGTTACCGAAGAATCGAATTCCACATTTAATCGAACTACTACGGCTGTCTGGTTGAAACCACAGGCCAAGAGCATGCTAATCAGCTCTGTAAAACCAAACTTGTGGGTGATTTTTAACGTTCAGCAAGTTGGATATTATAGAGTCACTTATGACGAAAATAACTGGAAAATGCTTATTCGCTACTTGAAGTTGAAGAATTTCCAAAAAATACATGTGATAAATAGGGCTGCACTTCTAGATGATGCTTTTAATTTAGCAAGAGCCGGTTACTTGAATTATTCCATTCCATTTGATCTCGCGACGTATCTTACTCGTGAAACCGAATACGAACCGTGGGTCGCTGCGGTAAATAACTTCAATTTTCTCAATCATATTTTAGCTTGCTCACCGCGAGTACAACGTCTCTTTCAGGTAAGGTTATTCTTCTATATAAGTACCAAATTAATTTCAAAATGTAACTTATTAATTATTTAAAAAAGATATGTCACAAATAAAAATTCTAATAATATTAAGAAGTTTTCTTATCATTACTAACGATTAAACTATAAAATTTGATGATATCCTTTTCAATTTCTTAATATTCTTTTATAACATTTTAATATAATTTGCAGAACTATGCAAATAACTTACTTAAACCAATGTCTAGTCTATTAAGCTTTATGGAAAATCTCATGGACAGTTCAATAAAGAAAATGCTTCGCGAATTGATTTTATCTACTGCTTGCTCGGTTAATAATATGCACTGCCTAAAGAAATCAAACAATTTGTTTAAAGCGTGGATTCTATCTGAGAAAAGGTATGATCAACTACCAGCGAAATTCTAAAATCAATACAACTATATATATATATATATTTGCAATATTAATATTTTAAATTAAAGTTTAAATATATTCAAATATTAGGAGATAATCTTATCAACTATTTCATTTATGTTTCTAATATGTACTTTATCTTTTGGTAAATATTTTTGTGAAGCTTATCTTTGAAAAAGATAACTAATTAATTAACACAATATATTATACATTTATATATTTTCATGATATATTTTATGTATATGCAGTAAAATATCAGCAAATCTCAAGAGCTTCGTGTATTGCGTGGGTATTCGAGCAGGTGATGATAATGATTGGCATACTGTTTGGAACAGGTTTCTACGCACTGACTTACATGCAGAACAAGAACTCTTGTTGAGTGCACTCGGGTGTACTAAAACTCCTCATTTAATCGACAGGTGGATTAAGAAATGGATCATACAGATAAACGCATTTACAATCAAATACTAAATTGTCAGCTTTCAGATTTCTCAATATGTCTATAATGTATGGACACAAACTTCGCAAACAATATAGAATGACAATAATCAATGCCGTTTTGAATGGCAATCCCGAAAATGTTAATTACGCCATTGATTTTATTCATCATAATTTGCCCATGATTCTTAAATCGTATGTATTATGCCAATGTATTATCCCAATCAAAACTTGTTATTTAAGAGAAAGATAATACTGTCATTTATTACGTTTTCGTTGTAACGGGAAATATAGAAAAGTTTTATCGAAAAATAGAGTTTTACGAAAAAAATGTTAACTCGATGTAAACTCGATTAACCTTTTGTTTTATTTTTTATTAATTAAATGTGACTAAAAAAACATAATAGTTTAGTTATTTATTTGCAATAGATTCTTATATTTACAAAACAAATCTTATAATATTTTATCTTACACTTTTACAGAAGAGGAATAGATTTCTTAACCAAAATGCTCACTGCTGTAGGCAATAAAATTATTATGGAAACTCAATTAAACAAGGTATAGTTTGTATACGTATTATAATTTAATATATCACTTCTCTTATATTCTAATTATATACAGAATAATTTAAAACTTATTATATTAGGTAAGTAACATAAAATGTTTATAATATTATAGCTTCGTTCATTTATTGATGAGAACATTGAAAATCTAGGATCAGCGTTGAATTCAGCAAAAAGAGCCATAAGTGTTTCTACTTCATCTTTAGCATGGATCGATAAATTTTTACCTGCAATTGAAAAAGTATTGTTAACTCTAGTTATTTAAAGA